TTTGGACTGAAGGGGAGTGGAGTGAAGGGATTGCAGTGAGGGTGAGTGCAATTGGAGTGAGGGGGTTTGGAGTGAAGGGGAGTGGAATGAGTGTGTTTGGAGTGAGGGTGACTGTGATTGGAGTGAGGGGGACTGGAGTGAGGGTGAGTGTGATTGGAGTGAGGAGAATTGGAGTGAGTGTGTTTGGAGTGAGGGTGAGTGTGATTGGAGTGAGGGGGATTGGAGTGAAGGGGAGTGGAGTGAGGGGATTGGAGTCAGGGTGAGTGTGATTGGAGTGAGGGGTTTTGGAGTGAGTGTGTTCGGAGTGAGGGGATTGGAGTGAGGGTGAGTGTGATTGGAGTGAGGGGGATTGGAGTAAAGGGGATTGGAGTGGAGTGAGTGTGTTTGGAGTGAGGGGATTGGAGTGAAGGGGAGTGGAGTGAGGGGATTGGAGTGCAGGGGAGTGGAGGGTGTGTGTGATTGGAGTGAGAGTGAGTGTGAGTGGAGTGAGTGTGATTGGAGTGAGGGTAAGTGTGATTGGAGTGAGGGTGAGTGTGATTGGAGTGAGGGGATTGGAGTGAAGGGGAGTGGAGTGAGGGTGAGTGTGATTGGAGTGAGTGTGATTGGAGTGAGGGTGTGTGTGATTGGAGTGAGTGTGTTTGGAGTGAAGGTGAGTGTGATTGGAGTGAAGGTGAGTGTGATTGGAGTGAGGGTGAGTGTGAATTGAGTGAGGGTCAGTGAGAGTTGAGTGAGTGTAAGTGTGTTTGGAATGAGGGTGAGTGTGAGTTGAGTAAGTGTGTTTGGAGTGAGGGTGTGTGAGTTGAGTGAGGGAGTGAGTGGAGTGAGGGTGAGGGTGAGTTAAGTGAGGGTGAGTGTGAGTTGAGTGAGGGTGTGTGATTGGAGTGAGGAATTGTGAGTTGAGTGAGGGTGAGTGTGATTGGAGTGAGGGTGTGTGATTCGAGTGAGGGTGTGAGTGGAGTGAGGGAGTGAGTGGAGTGTGGGTGAGTGTGAGTTGAGTGAGGGTGAGTGTGAGTTGAGTGCGTGAGGAACGTGCCGCGGGCAGTACCAGGATGTGATGCCTTCCATGCCCGAATTGCCTGTGGCTGTTCGCCCTGGAGCGGAGGTGAAGCAGTGAGTGCGGTACTGACCTGGTGGCTCCCGCTGAGGTTCCGATCAGCTCGTCTGCAGCAAGCGGCGAGGGGCCGGGGGCATCGCCACGAACTCTCCCCGCAGCAGGAGCAGCGACACGGCCACAGCCGCAGCGCTGGACCCGGTCCTGGTGCCAGCTTCCAGCCGCTTCCTCCTCGTCATTTCCTCACATTCCCCAGACTCCCTCTCTCTCTGTATGTTTCTCTCTCTCTCTCCCTCCCTGTTGTTTCTTTCTATTTCTCCTCCTCTCTCGCTGTCTCTTCCCCCTTCCCCCTCTGTCCCCCTCTGTTTCTGTCTCTCTCTCGTTTTTTTTTTGTCTCTGTCTCACTCTCAAACTGCGCCCAAAGCCTTCAACAGATATCAGTCCAATCTCTGCACATTACTGCTGACACCCCATCCAGCAGACCCTGACAAAAGTACCCTCCCAATAACGGGGCAGGGGTGTGAACTTAACCATTTGACAAGATCCTTCAGAAAAACAGAAAACAGGCTGCAGTGCTGAGTGAATCTTTAACATTCTGAACGTGGTTTAAAATGGAGAAAACTATTCCACTTATAAGGAAGTTCAAAACCATTTGGATATGGTGACTAACAGATCTGTTTGAGGGGGAATGGAACAGAAAGAGAGGCTGATAAACTGAAATAAGATGGGTGGGAGGAAGCTGGTGCCCAGCAGAAATATCAGCACAGAGAATAAGGACTGAAGGGCTTGTTTCTGGTCTGGACTTTCTACTGTAGTCCAGCTGCCTGAAAGGATGGATTCAACAGGAACTTTGAAAACAGCTGAATCAGAAACATCTGCTGAACTATGGGGAAACAGCAGGAGTGTTTGTCTGATGAGACAAATCTTTCAAAGAGCTATCACAGGTAGAATGGACTGAATGGCCTTCCTTTGTGCTGAGGAGTTGTTCCCAGGGGTGTGGGAGCAATCTAGTGACTGGTCACTCGGAGGGGTAGTTTTTTTTCTTCAAACAGTGTTAATATTTCCAGTTGAGCCCAGGATAGTCCTGAACCCACCAGAAATGAAACATTACAGGAACTTAGGAACAGGAATGGGCCATTCAGCCTCCCGAGCCTACTCCGTCATATTCTAGATCACGGCTGAGCATCTACGTCTCATTATTCCCACATTCCTTGATATTTTTAATCTGTTGATTTAATTTTACTCTATTGATTTCTGTCTTGAACATATGACAGCTTCCACAGTCCCCTTGGGGAGAGAATTCCAAAGATTCCCCACCCACTGAGTGAAGAAATTCCACTCCATCTTAGTCCCAAATGGCCTGCCCCTTTTATTCTGAGACAATTTCCCTTGTGTCTAGATCTCCAGCTATTGGGAAACATCCTGCATCTACCCTGAGACATAAGAATTTTGTAAGTTTTAACATTGTCTCCATTAAGTGTTAATCATGGGTGTAGATAGAAAATAAGGAACCTATAGGCCAGTCAAATAGTGTGACATTATTATTCTCTGTTATTGAAGACAGAGAGAGAGAGAGCGCCATATTCAATTTGAAACATTAGTTCTGGTTCTCTCTCTCTACACAGAGGCTGCTAGAATTGCTAAGTTTTTCAGCGCTTTTTGTTTTTATTTCATATCTCCATCTTCTGCAGTATTTTGCTTTTATGAGATGAAATTGTTTTTTTGACAGATCTGTTACAGTTTGAGGACATAACTGGAAGAATAGAGATGGGGGAACTAGTTGATATGGTCTATTTGAATTTTCAGAAGACATTCACAGTGCCACATTAGGGATCATTGCACAAATGTACAGCTCTTGGGTGTACTATATTAGAATGGATTGCACATCAGTAAATAGAAAACAAAGCAAAGCTATAATTGAAACATATTTTGCTTTTCAGGTTGCAAAAAGTGATGCACAACAGCATTCCTGCAGTTACCGCTCCCACTGAGAATCCCTGGTCCACTCCTCCTTCACTCCCAACACCTCCGCACACCCTCGCAGCATCTTCCCATGCAATTGCAGAAGATATAACACCTGCCTGTTTACCTCCTCCATCCTCATTATTCAAGGCCCCAGACACATCTCCCTGGAGGAGCAGTGATTTACCTGCACTTCACTCAATCTAGTCTACTGTACTCACTGCTTACAATGTGGTCTCCTGAAGACTGGGGAGATGAAGTGGGCGACCACTTTGTAAAATACCTATGTTCTGACTATAAAAAAGACCCGACGCTTCCAGTTGTTTGCCATTTCAACACACCACCATGTTCCCTGGCTAACATCTCTGTCTCAGGCTTGCTATAGTGCTCCAGCAAGGTTCAGCGCAAGCTGGAGAAACAGCATCTTAACTTCTACCTTGATTCCTAGGTGGCCTTCAGCACTCAACATTAAGTTTAATAATTTCAGAATTTGAACATGCTCCTCCAGACTTGAATCTAGAACCTTCAAAATAAGAGACACAACTGCTACCACGTGAGTCAAAGTTTACAGGTTATGACTCCAGCTGATAGGAATACTGGACAAGTCAGCTCCCAGGCTGAGACCTGGCTCGATAGATCATAAGTTTTATTTTTGTTTAATATGATAGTCAATGATTGAACATATTCACAAGAGGCTGCCAGTGAACTTTAAATAAAAAAACATAAAAATGATTAAACATAGGAAAAACATGCAAATAATACTGCATTAATGAAGAACATTGGAAACAATCTCATTACAAACATCAGAAAGAAAGATTCATTATTTTTATTCTAGCAATATCATTACAGATACTGCTGTCTCATAGCGCCAGGGACCCGGGTTCGATTCCAGCCTTGGCCAGCTGTGCAGAGTTTGCACATTCTGCCTATGTCTGCATGGATTTCTTCCAGGTGCTCCTGTTTCCTCCCACAGTCCAAAGATGTGCAGTTTAGGTGGATTGACCATGCTAAATTGCCCATAATGCCCAGGAATGCGCAGGTTAGGTGGATTAGCCATGGGAAATGCAGGACTACAGGGATAGGGTAGGAGGGTGGGTCTGGGTGGGATGCTCTTCAGAGGGGCAGTGTGGACTTGATGGGCTGGATGGCCTGCTTCCACACTGTGGGGATTCTATGACTCTATGACACTTAGTGAAGAGTCACACTTACCTCCACTGTAAAGCTTGCTCAGTTCGCATGTCTCAACACTGTTTACTTCCACCAAATTGCAGCACCTTCACTAGATGCTAGTTTTTTCAGTTCCTTTCCCTCCCCAGGACTCTGAAAACAATCTGTTAACTGAACTCACTTATCATGGGTTCCCTCAACTCAAATATTCAATAGCCTTTTAGGATGTTCACTTCCACTCTGACACCACCACAATCTTCTGCCTTTGGAGATTTCTTCTCTCTGATTTCTCCCAGCCCCGACTGCAGCTTGTTAACAACATCTCTGCAATCATTGGCCTCTTCTCCAAAGGAACCTGCTGTCTGGACTCTCTATCTCTCTCTTTCTCTGTCTCACTGATAGTTATAAAACCCAAGTTAACAAACACCTTTACAATTATCCCCTGAGGTGGATTGCTGGTCATTTAGCTGAAGGCACATGATTAGAATCATAAAATCCCTACGGTGTGAAAGCAGGCCATTCAGCCCATCGAGTCCACACCAACCCGCTGAAGACCATCCGACCCAGAACCACACCCGCCCCTTTACCCTATCCCTGTGACCCTGCATTTTCCACGGCGAATCCATCTAGCCTGCACATCCCTGGACTCTATGGGCTGTAGGTAGACCCACAATGCCCTTAGGGAAAGAACTCCAGGATTTTGATCCAGCGACAGTGAAGGATGGTGAGTGGTTTGGAGGGGAACTTGCAGATTGTGGTATTCTCATGTATCTATTGTCCTTGTCCTTCAAGATGGTCATGGATTTGGAAGGTGCTGCCTAAGGAGCCTTGTTGAATTTCTGCAGTGCATCTTGTAGATGATATACACCGCTACTACTGAGCCTCAGCGATGGAGGGAATGGATTTTTGTGGATGTGGTGCCAATTAAGCAGGCGGCTTTATCCTAGATGATGTCAAGTTTCTCAAGTGTTGTTGGAGCTGCAACCATCCAGGCAAATAAATTCATGTTAAAATCCCCCACTAGAACAAGTTTTGTGGCTTTGCCACTCACAGTGCTTCCTCCAAGTGTTCTTCAAAATGGAGATGTAATGATTCTTCAGCTGACGGAGAAGGTACATGGTAATCAGCAGGAGGTTTCCTTGCTCATGTTTAATCTGAAGCCATGACATTTTTTGAAGTTCAGAGTCAATATTGAGGACTCAAAGGGTAATTCCTCCCGACTACCCCATCGTTCCACCACCTCTGCTGGGTCTGTCCTCCCGGTGGGACTGGTGTCTAGGACATTGTCAGGTATGACAGAGTGGCTCGGTGGTTAGCACTGCTACCTCACAGCGCCAGGGACCCAGGTTCAATTCCACCCTCTGGCAACTGTCTGCGTGGACTTTGCACATTCTCCCTGTGCTTCCCTGGCTCTGGTTTCCTCCCACAGTCCAAAGATGTGCAGGTTAGGTGAATTGGCTATGCTAAATTGCCTGTAGTGTCCAGGGATGTGTAGATTAGCCATGGGAAATACAGGGTTACAGGAAAATGGGTGGGGCATGGGTCTGGGTGGGATGCTCTTCAGAGGATTGGTGTGGACTTGTTGGGGCTGAATAGCCTTCTTCCACATTGTAGGGATTCTATGAATAGGTATGATTCATGAGTTGACTATGTCAGGCTGTTGCTCCAATTTTGGCAGTAACCCCCAGATGTTAGTAAGAAGGACTTTGCAGGGTTGACAGAACTGTTTTTGCCCTTAGGTAACAAGGTGTAGAGCTGGATGAACACAGCAGGCCAAGCAGCATCAGAGGAGCAGGAAGGCTGACGTTTTGGGCCTAGACCCTTCTTCCACTCTCAGGCGACCGTCTGTGTGGAGTTTGCACATTCTCCCTGTGTCTGTGTGGGTTTCCTCCCACAGTCCAAAGATGTGCAGGCTAGGTGGATTGGCTATGCTAAATTGCCCATAGTGTTCAGGGATGTGTAGATTACGTGGGTTATAGGTCTGGGTGGAATGCTCTGAGGGTTGGTGTGGACTTGTTGGGCCAAAGGGCCTGTTTCCACACTGTAGGGATTCTATGATCTATAATATATTATCTATATTCATAAGATACACAAAACTTGGAC